ACTGGATGCGAGCTCTCAAATAGGCCTAACTTATACAAATGAACTGCCTGTCCTCTCACTCCGATATTGCTTGTGCGCACTCAGACCAATGTTGCCAACTCTCACAAGATGATAAGCAACTGCAGCTTTAAAAACAAGCCCAAAACAAGCCCAATATGTTTTTGATGATTTATTATCATCAATTGTATTCATCAATTATTTATGACCAATAAATGAGCCTGCAACATATTAAACTGAAACCACTCTTTTATCTGAAAAGCAAAAACATAAGTTATTTTACAAAAATCAGCAAACTGCAACAAAGCAGGAACAAAACTCATCTCCAATCACCTGTCAGCAGAATAGGATTGGAGAGATGGAAAAGGAGAAAAGCACAAGAGCTTAAAGGGAGAGCTGTAACATAGCCACATATTTATTATAGCCTACTAAAATATAGGCTATTCGAACCAAATGTATATACTCTTAGTATTAGTATAGGACTACTTGTTTTTTATTACAGCGCGTGATAATTAATACATTACAAAAACATTGTAAAAATTAAAATTAGGCTAAAACAAAGTCTGAAACTCTGCTCACTCTAGCCCTCCTGCCGTTCCTCACTCTAGCCCCCGGCCTCTGCTCACTCTAGGCCGCCGCCGCCGCTCACTCTAGGCCACCGTGTGTGAAAGCGAAACTACTTTGTTTGGCCTTCCAAAAATGGACACGACTAGAAATCAGTGGTTAAAAGGTGTATTTACAACACTGTTCCAGAACACTTCAACCCAAATATTCAACTGAAAATTGGCTTCCGCTCTGGAATGGCATTCTGGCTCTGGTGACGTCAGTTTGACGGCTTCGGGGGAATAGTCTTAAGTTATAATGTAAGGACTGCTATTTCCGGGTCCATATCTCTACTCATTTCACAGCCATTTATGAGCACTATTTAATTAATGTTACATATTTAAGCTAGAGATGCACCGATTGACCGGCCAGTGATCGCACGTCTTGCCGATTCCGAGCCGATCCTTTTATTGCCAGCGGCGCCGGCAATGATGTCACAGCCACGCGCACACTCACGTGTAAACATGTCGTTTCGCGCGAGAATGATTCTAATTTTAATTGCATTCAGTGTAAACGGCGACTGATAATGTATTTATGTTGTGCCAGATGAGTGAGAGAGATTGAGACTCATGCAGAAATCAATACAAATTAGCGCAACAGCACACACAAAGTAACTCATAGAAAGTTATAGACCCCTTTTCAATTAGTAAACACTGTGATGTTTTTCTGTGGGCGAATGAGTGAGTGTGTGAGAGAGACAGCACACACAAAGTAACTCACAGAAATTCATAGATGCATACTGCGGTAGAAAAAAATATATATTTACAAAATATGATTTAGGTAAGCAACATTATACGGCCATGATGTTTCCCCAAATATCAATATCAACACAATTTCAATGTGACACTGGTTTTATACAATAGTATTTCAATAAACAAGAAGTTAGACTTAGATTTTAGACAAAATATTGACTGTTTTTGCTCAAATTCGCTGACGGAAATAGTTCTGATCAAAGCCACAGCAGAACTTTTGTGTGTCTCCAAGCAACACACAGCGGTGTTTCATTACTGAATGAATCCACGTTTTTGAACTAATCCAGTGAGTCAATGATCCAGTAACCCATTCATAAGGACAGTCATTTGCCTCGTTTCTGAATGAATCAGGCATTTGAATGAATCGGTTGAATGAATGAATAAATGACTCACTCAATAAAACAGACATTTGCCACCACCTGCTGGTGGTTTAGTCATATTTAAAAGTATCATTGCATTTTTTCAACATTTTTTTTGTATGTTTTAAAAAATATATAAAACATTAATCTTACAAAATTATTTATGCATTTGAAATTTTGCAGTGTAAATGCATTTATGGCACCTCAGCTTCATCAAGCATAGTGGGAAATGACATCTGTTTTGTTACATACAGCAACTCCTTTTAAGTTAACTATTTCTTCCTCTTACCAGTCACAGAGCACTTTATTTTGAGAGTTGTTTAAGTGACAAAATCTGTAACAGTCCAGATTGGGGGAATTGTAATGTTTAATAATTTCTTTTATTATGTAAATAATTTTTGCATTTAAATTTGCATAGATTTTTGTTTGTATATGCTGTCAATTACAGTTCTTAGAAAGAAAATCAGAATCGGCAAAAATCAGTATCGGCAGGTCACACTTCCAAAAAATCGGAAAATTGCAATCGGTGCATCTCTAATTTAAGCTGAGCATTTAAAAATTTGCTGTGCACACTACAGTCTCCGTGTTACGTCTTCCGCCATTTTGGAGAGTACCCAAGAGAGTAATCGACGTAATCAGCATTGTTTACATTCGGGGGAGAAAGCGCGCAAAAATCAGTATCGGCAGGTCAAACTTCCAAAAAATCGGAAAATTGCAATCGGTGCATCTCTAATTTAAGCTGAGCATTTAAAAATTTGCTGTGCACACTACAGTCTCCGTGTTACGTCTTCCGCCATTTTGGAGAGTACCCAAGAGAGTAATCGACGTAATCAGCATTGTTTACATTCGGGGGAGAAAGCGCACGCATGAACGTAATCTGCGTAATCAGCGTTGTTTACGCTTAGGGGAAAGCGTGCGTATGCATTGTGATACTCTCTAAAATGGCGGAAGACGTAACTCGGGGGAGAAGAATTGTTGAAAACATTTTTATTTTTGTTTTCTTTGCGCTCAAAAAGTAGCTCGTAGCTCGTAGCTACGCAAAACTGAAGTTGAGCCACTGATGTCACATGGACTGTTTTACCGATGTCCTTACTACGTTTCTGGACCTGGGAACATTACAGTTGCGTTGCTGTCTATGCAGGGTCTGAGAGCTCTCACATTTCACAAAAATATCTTGGATTTGTTTTACGGGTTTGGAACGATGTGAGGGTAAGTAATTAATGACAGAATTTTCATTTTGGGGTGAACTAACCCTTTAAATGTGTATTGTTTGTATGTGTTTACAAACATTATAAACACAGTTATTAGCTTTATTAGGATTACAAATCCTCTAAAATTACGGCTATGTGTTTAGGCTATAAAAACGTCAATCCAAAAACAAATTAATTTAAGGTGAAACTGAGCATTACCTCTCTAATTCGGCACGAATCCAAATGTTTCCATATTTGTGACTTATCTGGATGCTAAAATATTATTTATTTTAGGCTAGGCTTTGTACTTTCATCGTCGTAAAACATCATCCCTTACACCAGCTATATCAGCACAGTGAGGCGCTGGTAGGGGTTGAACGACTTCAGATTTTTAAAAGTCGACATTTATGTGTTGAGTGTCGACGTTGACTAGTCGCTGATGATGTCATTAATGAACAAATAAGCCTGAACCTGGAGCTGAGACTCGGAACACCTTGTGCACAGCTATGGCATATGACACGGCGCTGCCCACATGGCTATTGCTGCTGTAACAGCTCATTTTTATCAAGTTCTTTTGTCTTTGGGTTGTTATGTTTCTCACAGATTTCTGCTCGTTCTAAATCAGATACAGGTAAAGCAGCACAGTAAAGATTATATTTATATGAATGCATTAGTGAGAGAGCGATTGCTTGTGTGAATTCTACCTGGCAGTGTCTCTCTTTGAAGCTGTGAGTTTTAGTTACTAAGAAATAAATGCTAGAACTTTTCAGTTTCTAAACAATTTTTTTTTTTTTTTGAGAAATCACAGAACAGTGTTGGCAATACATTTCTGTGCCGCGCGTGATCTGCGAGTGATGTACGAGCTACTGTCTGTAGCCTATGTGTGTGCGTTAGCAACAGCGCATTAGGTTAGAATGGCGATTAATCTACCTGCACAATAAGCTGTTTAAATCGTGCATTTTCCCGTTCAATTTCAAGCATCCAGGTGGTATAATCACACACGTCTTGTGGAGCGCTTAAGCAGTCTGCATTTATTTGTCATTTTAACTGTTTGGAAACGGAGCGTAAATGTGGACTTCAATGATTTCTTATCCTGTTGCGCCCTCTGTAGGACCAGCGACTAGTCGACGTCAAGCTTAAAGTGTCATGGCAGAGCATTAAAGTCGACTAGTCTGTGCAACCCCTAGGCGCTGGTCACGCTGAAGGCAACAGGTTGAACAATGGAGCAGTGTAACTTTCTATTCGTTTCTTTAACTGTATTTTATTTTGATAATGAACAGGCTGCAATGTTGTAAAAATATGTTGTGTGCCCGTGTGACGCCGGTGCGATGGTCATACCAATGCTGGTTGGTTATACAGATAGAAGCAAGACATTATTCAAAACTGTCATGCTTTTGCAAAATAAATAAAACTGTCAAGCTTTTGCAAAATAAAGAAAACTACTTTATGCTGTCTCGTTTTCCTTTTTTCTGAGAACTTTGGAACTCAGCACTTTTTTTTTTTTTTCTGTTTTGTTAATCTGTCAATGATTTAAGTGAAATATACACTGAACAAAATTATTAACGCAACACTTTTGTTTTTGCCCCCATTTTTCATGAGCTGAACTCAAAGATCTAAGACTTTTTCTATGTACACAAAAGGCCTATTTCTCTCAAATATTGTTCACAAATCTGTCTAAATCTGTGTTAGTGAGCACTTCTCCTTTGCCGAGATGATCCATCCACCTCACAGGGATCAAGTAGACCGATAACCGATATTTTGAACCGATATATACGTCTGGTGTAAAAATTAAAATTTATGTCAAAATTTTGAATAACAAGGGCTCTGACAAAAACTGCCTTCCCTGGTGTTGGTTGAGTGTAGTACTCCCACAGTAAACTCTTTA